CAACCTTGGGACTATTGACATTGTGGGCCAGATAATTCTCTATTGTGCATGTATGTGGGCGGGGGCTGTGCTATACACTGTAAGATGTTTCACAACACCCCTGGCTCTATCCATGAGACGCTAGCAGCAAGCACCTCACTCTCCAGTGGTGACAACAAAAAATGTCTCCAGACATGGCCAAATGTTCCCTGGGGAAGGGGGGCAAAAGAGCCCCCAGGTGAGAGCCATTGCTGTATAGAAATGAGGGGTCAGGTTCAGGTTGGTTATAGCCAGTCTTCCCCATTAGACTGTAAGCAGGTGGAGGGCAGAAAAAGTGAGTTGATTTATTCACTGCTGTGTTATCCATGCCTAGCACAGTGCCTGGCATGTAGCAAGTGCTGCTGAAAGGAGAATGAATGAATGAATGAATGAATGAATGGTCTCTGGGAATACGACATGTTCTGCGATGAGAGCCTGAAGGTCTAGATCCCTGTCCAGATTCTTACCAACCTGCTCTGGGGTAGCAACCTTCCCCTCTTTGGGCCTGGGTCCCTTTTGCCATCTCTTAAACGAGGACCATCACAGGCCTGGAAGGCCCTGCGCATCTATGATCTGGGGACTGCCAGAGACCAGGGAGCCGAGGGGGACTGTCTCCTAGGTCAGGCATTGCAGACCTGCTGTGTCCTGTGTTTCTCCTTCTTACTCTAACCCTTCAAGTCAAATCAATTACAGCGAGACAGGCACCCCTGCCCCCACATACACCAAAATAGCGACCTACACAGAAGAGGTGGCTCCTTTTTTGAGTGTGTATCTTAAAAGGAAAAACATGTAACCTCAAAGGTAACCAAATATCCAAATCGTGATGCCCAGCATCACACACCCCAAATCCACCTATTCATGAGCTTAACAAAAAGCTTCTTTAGGATACACTGTAAGGCCATTGAAAGGGAGAGAAGTCACCTCTCATAGGCCTGGCCAGCCCACAGGGCCCGCCCTCCCAGAGCGCATGCACACACACACACACACACACGCACACACACACACACACTCTCCACCGCTTACAAGGAGGCTCTGAGTTTTTAAAAGTAAACTCCGCCGTTTCCGTTCTTGCCCTGGATTCAACTTTTGAAAAAAGGAACCGTTTTACCGTTTTCTACAAATTCCCCCTCTCTGGTTCTCCTCTCGCCTGCACTCCCGCTCCTTCTCCAGCCCTCCCCTTGTTCTGCCGGCCTCCCAGTGGCCCTTCTTCAGCTGTGCCCAGGGGCTCAGACTCCCTCGCAAGGATGGCTGTGTCCTGTTGGATCTGGCGGAAGAGGAGCAGCCGCTCCCAAAGTAGCTGTCACAGAAACAGGCCCTTCATCTCATTGAAGGGGCTTCCTTTAAGTTATCAGGGCTGCAGCGTAGCTACCATCAGGACACGAAGCATGGCCATGAGGCCAGGCCGTGACAGCAGAAGAGGAAGGCTCCTGTTCCCAAGCAGTGCTCCAGATCCCCTTTCCCAGGGCAGCTGCTGGCCTGTCCCCTCCCTCCTCTACTTGTAAGTAGACCTGTCCTCCATGCCTTGCTTCCTCTCTGACTCTGGGTCCTCTTCCTTGAACTTGCCTTTCCCCAACTCCAGCTTTCACCTCAGCTGCCTTGACTCCTCAACACTTGATACAGTGGCAGCAAGGACACCCCAGCACCTGCCACCTAGGGCCACAATGCTGGAATTTCTGAGACAGAAACATCATTGGGAACAATATAGTAAAAAATATACATATATATACATATATGCAAATATCAAAAGTGTATATATTTGCATATATACATTTATTTTATAAACACACATACCCTTATAGAGGGCTTCAAAATATATAACAGAAACAAAAGTTTCCAGAAACAATACTTACCTTTGCTACACAGGAGGCACTATGAGATTATCTAGTATTTCCTATTTTATTAAGAACCCTGCTAAATTGATTTCACAACCTGCAGTTGGACAAATCTGGTGCTAGACATCCCTGCAGCAGCAAAGACAGACTCAAAGTGGAACTCTAGGCAGGGTCTCATGGGCTTCCTTTGGCTCAGCTGAGGTCCTCCTAAGGGCCCAATAAGAAGGGCCTTGGGAGGAACCCAGTACTAGAAGGCATCATTAAAAAGAAATTCACTGGCCAGGCATGGTGGCTCACACCTGTAATCCCAGCACTTTGGGAGGCCAAGGCAGGCGATCACCTGAGGTCAGAAGTTTGAGACCAGCCTGGCCAACATGATGAAACCCCGTCTCCACTAAAAATACAAAAATTAGCCGGGCATGGGGGTGCACACCTGTAACCCCAGCTACTCGGGAGACTGAGGCACAAGAATCACTTGAATCTGGGAGGCGGAGGTTGCAGCGAGCCAAGATTGGGCCACTGCACTCCAGCCTGGATGACAGAGCGAGAATCCCATCTTAAAAAACAAAACAAAACAAAAAAACAAAAAACAAAGATCACACCAAAAGTTAGCACACACAGTCTCTTACCAAGGTCAAGTATTTGAAATTTTTGCTATCCATAACTTGGGGTTTGTGACCCCCGAGGGGGCTTAGGAGCTGTTAGAGGAGAGGAATTAAGGTTTGTGGTGCTTGCTGAGAGCTGGACAAGGCACCCACTTTATGTCTTTTAATCTTCACAAAAATCTCTTCTTGGAGGATTTTCTCCCCTTTTTGGAGAAGAGGAAATGAAGCCTCTGGGAGGCTCAGTACCCTCATCAAAGCCATGTAGCCAGTGAGTGGCTGGGCTGGGATTTGAACCCCAGTTTTCCTTGCATGCCAGGCTGTCCACCCTCCTGGCTCTTGCCCACTGTCTCAGGAGTGAACTCTCTCGTGGAGCTCCCTCTCTAATTGGGGAGGGGGCATAATATGAGGAGAATGCTCTGCCTCAGCATACAGGGGTGAGTGGCTGCCTGGGATTGGGTGTGTGTGTGTGTTAGTGATGGAGAACAGGGGCAAGAGGTGTGCCTGGGTATGAGGAGGGCTTCCAAACATTAAACAAAACATTCCCATTTAAGTATGATTTTCATGGAATATTCTAGGAAAAGAAAAACATTCAAATTTCTGCTAGAATTAAGAATATAATAGTAATATTAATAATATCAAACAGTTACTGAGTCCTTGCCCAGTGCCAGGCACTATGCTAAGCCCTTTGCTTGGGTCATCTCATATCTGCTATTTATTGAGTATCTGCTGTGGGCCAGCATTGAACACAAAGCCTGGCACCTAGGTGGCGCTCAGCAGATAGTGGAGAATGAATGAAAATACCAGGCACAGCACTAGAAACTACACATAAGTATATCTAAATGAAACACAGTTCAAGGTAACCTGCGGAATTCCAGTATCTCTCTAAGAGATATTTTCTTCCTTCTGACAATTCCTTCTTCTGAAACTTTTTAAACTGGGGAGATCTACTTTTCTGCAATCTTTCTTTCAGGTTAGAACCTCCACTTCCCACTCCCACTCAATGCTTCCTCTCCCAACAAGCTTCAGGGTTTTCTTCCCCATTGCCTTTTCATTTCCCGCAGTTTCTCCCTGGATCCTGAGATTGACAAGCCAACACTCCTACACCGTATCTTCATAGAGCCTCCAAACCCACCTTGCCCAGGGTGCATGGGCAACCTGATTGCTCCTTGTCCATGGCAACCCAGGACAAGAAAGAGATAAGGATTAGAATCCAAGACTTCTGGACTCTTAAATCAGGACAAGGGACTGACTATGGCCTCAGAAAACCTGGATTCTAGTTCTGCCCCTGCCCCTAAATCACAGTGCAACCTTCAGAAATTCATTGCACCTTTCTGGGTCCACTTGCCCTCCTCGTCAGACAAGGTGGGTGCATTTTCAAGGTCCAGAGTCCCCTCAGACACCCATCCACTGCAGCTCCCAGGACCCCAAAACACCATGCTAACCCAATTCAGCTTTGTATTTTCCTCCTGGCTGCCACCCCCACAGAACCGGAATTTACACATCAGTCAACATGCTGGACCTCCAGCTTCTTCATGGTGAAACCCTAGCAGGATCCTGTCAGAACCCAGCTCATGACTGAAAGGAGGATAATGATGGAAAAGTTTGGGTTGGATCCTGTCTCACAATCAGAGACAAGCCCCCACCCCCGCAGCTTGCTCTGCCTAGAGTGTGGTTCAGTTGACATACTGACAGCCTCCAACCCAACCCCAGGGTTGGAAAGAGCTCCTGCTCTACCAGCACTGACTTCCTTTGCAGAGGAACCCACAGACGGAAAAACCGCACCCACAGACGGAAAAGCCGCTCGTGGGCGTGTGTCCTCAACTCCCCTCCCCTTTCTTCCTTGAGAAATGCCCCTTCTTGGTTGGACACCGGTGTGTTCAGGGCACTGCTCTCCTCTCCCCTGCTGGCAGTTCAGTAGCTCTGTCCCAGGTTCTGCCACTCTCCCCTGGGCAGACACTTAAGGCACTCTGGTCCTTGGAGTAAGCCAAGTGGCCAAGGATGGGCTATCTAGCCTCCGCTTAGGACCCGCCGTGTCCCTGACATACTGTCCATATGATTTCATTTATTCCTCCAGACCTCGCGAAGGCCTTCTCCTTCTCAGCTGACAGAGGGCAGGCCAAGGCTCAGGAAGGTGAAACACATCTTCCAGCTCAAAAGTAGCACCTCGGGGATTTGAACCCACATTCCCTTGACTGTGAAGCTGCTACTCTGTCAACCATGGGTCCTTCCAGACCCTACCATTTAAAATCACATGGGGGTTTGGAGTAAAGGATCCCTTGTTCCTTCATCCTGGCGGACTAGGAGACAAGTGCCCCTCCTCACGTGTTCCTTTGCCCCATTCACTGAGTCTGCAACAGCCAAAAAGTTTGCTCAACTCCACCGCGGACGCAGCCGGTGGATGTCCAGAGCCCCCGGCACACATAGCTCCAGGGCGGACACCGAGGCAGTGCAGCCCCCAGCCCCGGGGCGTGCAGCCTCAGCCAGGTTCCTGGCTCGCCGGGCGCCCTAGGAGAGAACCTCGCTCTGGAGGGAAGGAGACAGTTACCTTGAAGAGTTGGACTCCCTTCTCCAAGAACTTCAGTCCCACACACCTGGCGAGGCAGCTGGAGGCTCCTGGGGCTGGGAGGCCCGGGTCTCGCTGCGCAGCGAGGGAGACGCTCTGCGCGGGCGCTGCGCACCCCTCCTCCTGCCGGCGTCCTGTCCGCAGGTCCCCTCGGGCTGTGGCCGCAGCGGCAGCTGCTGGGTTGCGGAGTCCTGGCTGGCTGAGGGAATGGACACTGAAAGGTGCCCGGAGACCCTGGCACCCGCGTCAGATGCCGGCCGGCGAGGGCGCGGAGAGAGAGAGACCTTGAGCAGCGCTGCGCGCGTCCTCAGCTCTGCTAGCCCCCTCTGGAGCGGCGGGGGGGTAGGTGGGGGGGCGGGCGGGCATGGCGCGCTGTGACACATACATAGGGACGGGCGGGGGAGGGGAGGGCCCGCGAGGGGTGGGGGGGGGGAGGGGGCGAGCTCAAAGGGAAACCCCACCCCCGGGGACCGAGGGGCTGCCGACAGGGGGAGGGGAAGGTGGAGGCATCTGGAGCGCGCTGGACCCTGGCTCCCGACCGGCGAGCGGACTGGGAAGCCGCCCTGCGCTCAGGGCGCGAGAGGAGCGCTCCCCGCGGCAGCGCGGACCCGGCAGCTCCGGGGCCGGCGGGAGGAAGGAGGCGCGAGAAGGGCTGGAGGGCCCGCGTCTGCATTGCGGTCGGCAGCTCCGCAGTCGGAGGGGCCCGGGAGGGCTGCACCCTCAGAGCATCCCCGAGTGCCCGGACTCGGAGGCTGCCGCGGTCCGACAGGGCTCCTGGGCGCCCGGCGGGGGTCTGCAGCTGAGGCTGGGCACGACGCGATCAAAGGAGGGTGCAGCCCCCTACTGTCGGCCACGATTTGGAAAGACTCTCACCGAGGAGCTGGCTGAAAGTTTTTTTGGGGGTGGCGTACACCGGGATGGCAGGGGATGGTGGAGAGGGGAGGTGAGGCGGCAGCGGGGAGGCGCACGGGGAGCTGCGAGCCTGTGGGTCTTCAAAGTCCCCAGGAGAGACCAAGGACATGTCATATGGAGCAGGAATTCTCCAGTGCCTCTACGGTACTCTTTAATACTGTTTCCGGGAAAAAGGAGTAAAAGAACTAGCAGCTTTTGAATCCCTCCTATGAGCCCCTTGTGTAACATACATTAACATTTCATTTAATTTTTCCAAAGAGCCCAACAAGGTAAATATGGCAACTTCCCACCTGCCCCTACCAAAGATGTGAAAATCAAGGCTTACAAAGTGGTGGAGTTCCTTCTTTAAGGTGGGTCTGAGCTCAAGTCCAGGGTCTTGTGCTCTCTGCTATACAGGCTGCTGGTTGAGCCACAGCACTTTCAGAGGACTCAAGCTGGCTGGTGACCTTCAGAGTTCTTATGGAGGAAGCTGGTGGTGCTTCACACCAGGATGTGGTGGCCACAGTCAGGATGGTGGTGGAAGCTTCCTGACCCTCTCATTGGGCAAGAAGAGGAAGAAGTGGAATCTTTGGGGGCTCCCACTATAGAGATAATAGACCACACTTTAATCAGTTCCTTGATGAAAAAGAACTGAAGTGCCTCAGTTTCCCCAGGGCGACTCCACTGGAATTGTGTGGTTATTTTACTAGCCATCTCTGCTTGGGGGCGGGTCTGGCCCTGGCCCAGCACATGCTCTGTGAGCCCCCTGTCTCTCCCCTGTCCAGGGCAGTGAAGCCCCGTCAAAGGGGGCGCAGTGCCCACTCTACCCACCTGCCTCTCAGAGCAATGACTAAAGTGTTCCAGTGGTTGGCCATTCTTGATTTCACCCTTTTCTACCTGAGCCTATTGAGTCAGGTCTGTAAGTCTTGAAGCATTTAGGACACAGACAAAATGCTGGTGACTGAAGTCCCTTTAAGGGGTGATAGTGGCTTCTCTCACAGATAAAGAAATGGGATGAAATCTTAGTAGTTACTGGCCTCAATGCCTGGACCAGGGAGAAATGACCCTTCTGGGAAAAAAACAAACCCTGAAATTCCAACGAGGTCATAGATTCTCATGCCTGTATTTACCTGATGCCTTGGGGGAGAACAAATTACTCTCATTTATAAAATGGGGTCATGTCGCCATTCATCCTACGGCAGGCAGGGTTAATGAAGAACAAGTCAGAGGGAAATATTAATTAGGCAATTTATGTTTGTATTGAAGGGAACAAATGTTTATTGATCATCTGGTTTTGTAATGAGTCTAAGAAACATATTGGGCACCCATTATGTGTCAGATGCTGCTTGGTACAGCAGCCTCTCAGATGGATGCCATTCCCATTTACATACTGAGAAACCAAGACTCAGAGGCCACAAAGGTAGTGAATGGGATTGGAGTGCAGGTTGGTATGACTCCACACTCCCTACCCCTAAAGGATATAGAAAACCCAGGATGATGGCAACACATTTGGACACTTTAAAGACAGTATTCAGAGAATCAAAGGACATGAGTGTCAGAAAGCCCTTGGTGGCATAGACAGGCTCCTCCTGTCCAACTCAGGAGCTCTGTTCTGGTGTAATATTTCTGAAGCTGGTCATCCCTCCTCTGCTAGAATACTTTACAGCTGCCTAATGCCTTTTCCAGGCCGCCCGATGCAATCTGCTGTAACTGGCGGTTTCTAACCTCTTGCTGCTCAGAGTATGGTCTATAGACTGGCAGTGTCACCTGGGAGCTTATTAAAAATGAAGAATGCCAGGTTCCCCAGACCTACTGACTCACAATCTGCATTTTAACAAGATCCCTTCCATGTTGTATATGCCTGCTGAAGTTTGAGAAGCACTGTGCTGACATCATTCAGCAGATTCTACTCATTCAATCACAAAATCACAGAATGAGAGAATCTCAGAGCTGGGAAGAGCTCTTGGAGAACTTTAAGGACAACCCTCCATAGAGTATGCTAGTGCTGTCCATGATGTTTCCCTCAAGTAGGACATCAGACTCTGCTTGGATGTGGCCATGAGTTTGACTCCCTTCTGAGGCCACATCCAATTTTTTCACATGGTTCTAGTATTTAGGTAGCTTTCAGCTTTCATAGAAGCTCATGCCCAATACTATGGATTCAGCAGTAAACAAGACAGGCCTATTTCCACCGCTGCCCCCATTCCTGTCCCAGGACCTCCTGCCACGTGATAAACCTTTCTGTGTTTGGAATCAGTGATCTCAAGTCTCTCCCTTCTCGCTCTTCTCCTTTTGGATTGGGGCATCCTCTCTCCTTCTACCCTGCCCCATCCATCTTCTTTAAGCAGGTCTGGCCTGCCTGTGTCTCATATAAAGAGTTCAAACTCACTCCCCCTGTTGGAGTGCTCAGTCCAGAGCAGAGCTCACCTCCATAACCTGGGTCCTATGCTTCTGGTAATGCAGTCAACATTTATGTGCTTTTATGACAGCCTCATCATGACTCTTGTGGAGCCTGCAGTCAGTTCAGACCTCCTCTCCACATGTGCTGCTGCCACCTAGCATCTCCTTTGGCTTATCCTGGTACAATGGGTTTTTTTAATCCAAGTGTGGGGCTTCATTTTTGCTTCTATTAAACATTACATTAACTAATTCAGTTTACTCTTCAGTTTACAGATCATCTTGGAGTCTGACTCTATTATTCTATGTGTTTGCCATTCCTCTTAGCAGCAGACATTCTGCAAAGCTAACTAGTGTGCCACTTCTATGTTTTCACTCAGGCTGTTCATAAAAATATTGCCTGGGATGGAGATTAGGGCTGAGTTCTAGAGCAGAGCACTAGAGACAGGCCTCCTGGAATGAATGACATAGTTCCATATTGCAATTATAATGGCTGTGTAGCAGATCACCCCAAAACTGAGTGGCTTAAAACAATAGTCATTTAATATCTCTCATGGTTTCTATGGATCAGGAATTTGGGAGAAACTCGCCAGGCAGTTCTGGCTTGGACTAGCTCACAAAGTTGTAGTCAGATGTCAGCTACAGCTGCAGTCAACTGAAGGCTTGACTGGGGCTTGAGGATCCATGTCCAAGGTGGGTCACTCACATGATTGGCAAGTTGGTGCTGGCTGCTGGCCAGTGGCCTCATTTCATCTTCATAGGGCCTCCCGATGGAGCTGCTTGAGTGTCCTCATGACATGGCAGCTGGCTTTCACCACAGTGAGTGAGACAGTGAGTGTAGTGCTTCTATGTCATAGCTTTGGATGTCATACGCTTCTGTATTCTATTGGTCACACAGGGTCCAATTACTACAGTGGGAGGGTCTGAACTACTGTGGGAGGGTCATACAGGGTGTGAATACCAGGGGATGGGGATCACTGGGGACATCTTGAAGGCTGGCTTCTATACTCCATTAAACTAACTCGTAGAGCATGGCCAGTCTCCCCATCCATCTGACTGTATTACCACGGAGTGCTTATTTCTGCCCTGTACATGGGGATGCCATGAAGGTACCTTGCTAAGTCCCAATATAAGGTGTTTGCAGAATTCCTCTGAAGCATTCATTCCAAACTCTTTTACTAGCGAGTGGCCCAATTCTGCTCTCTAAAGCAACACAGTCTGCCCCCATTTCAACAGGACAGCCTCCAGTTAGTGCAGGAGGGTTCTTACATCACCCTTCATGTCTTTCCTCACAGGGTCTTTGACTGTTTCCCAAGGGAGTGTTCTTCCAGCGTTTGCTTCTGGATTCCTCACTCTCTGCAAACCTTTGTGGATGCCCCTCAAAAATGCTGTGCCCAGCATTAGATGCACAAGCCCAGGTGTGTGGACTGATCAGAGGGGAGCCAGGATAACTCCTTTCTCTAACCATTTGGACATTCTGCTCCTACTGGTGTGGCCAAAGATGGTTGAGTTTCAGAACTACAACCCACTTTTACTTGATATTTAATTTTGCAGGTAATTAAAACTAAGACTGTATCCATGCTGGCCCCCATGAAAGGGATTCCTGTGTACCTCAAGCAACAAAGAGAGTTGTGGAACGAGGAGATTCCCTGTGTAATCAGGAGCATTGGATGTGAATCCCAGGTCTGGCATGGGAACCTCAGGCGAGTTTCTTAACCTCTCTGGATTTTGGTTTCACATCTGTAAAATGGAGCTATCTCATGGAATTGTTGTGAGAATTAAAATAAGATATGGAATGTCAGCACCTAGCAACCTGATCTGGCTCAAGGTGCAAGGATGGTTAATTTTCTTCCCTCCTCCTAGCCCCCGCAATTTGGTGTGCCTGAGTAAGTGCATTCTCTCCTGTGTGCTGTTTTCTGTGTTTGTAAAAGAAGCTAAAAATACCCACCTCATACAAGTGTGGCAATGATGAATACTATATGTAATATGTGTAGAGAACGTTGTGACCCTTTTTGAAGCAAAGGGCCATAGAAACACGATATAGAAAAGCCTTCTTACAGCA